TCTCTAATTAGTCTGGAAACGGGGGACCTAATTCTTGGATTCTGTGAAAACGGGTAAGATTGGCTATAATGTAATTATCTTAATCTTCACTATCGTTACTTTTTAAAAACCCAGCGAAGTGGGTCCTTGCAGCTAGATTCTAGATTACTTAGAAAAACAGTTTTTTATATATAAAAAATCTATATTACATACAAATGTATGAACAAATAAAAACCCAGCGAAGCGGGTCCTTGCAGCTAGTAATCATATAAAATGATAAATGTATAATATACAAATTTCAAAATTAATTTCTTAAAAATTTTGTTTAAGTAAAATTATTAACAGGGCCAGACTAGAAACAAAATTTGGCCCTGGCAATATATTAAAAACTGGCCTTCTAAAATAAGTCTCATTTGATTAATGGGAAAAGTAATACTAATTAAATTAATTTGAATGTAATACAGTATAATCAATTACAATGTACATTACCAGTGAAATAGAAGAGGGAATACTATATTCATGCAGTGAATAGTTTTTCAGCTGACTTTTTTCACCTACAATATCAATAATTTTGTCAACATTGAGATTATGAATTTCTTGTATAATTCAAGTGCTATGTTAACCAATCCTGGAGGGCACTATCCTCTCTGACATTTGTCAGATGGCCAGTCCAGTCCAGTCCAGTCCAGTCCTGATTACTAATTATTATTGTGATGGTGATCATGTCAATTATCTATGCCAGAACAAGACGTTGCTTTTTACAACTATTTTATCATGTTTGAATGCTGTTATCTGTGTTGGAACATGATTGATATGATTTTGATCCAAAGATGGTCAACATCAGTTCAACAGTGTTGAACTTTTCAGGGAGCTGACATAGATTCTGATCACAGCTTAGTCATTGCAAACATAAAGATAAAACTGAAGAGGAAAGTTAATGCACATTTCCAAAAGAAAAGAGACATTTCAAAGCTAAAAGATGAGAAAATAGGGAGCATATATAGAAATACACTTGAAAAGAAGATAAAAACCCTAGACAAGATGGAAGAGTTAGACACAAGAGTGGAAGAAATAACAAAGGCAATAAGAGAAACAATTGAGCAGACCCTACCGGAAGAGGAAAAAATCAACAAGAAATGGATCACACGAGACTTGCTTGTCCAAGCTTGTCCCTGAAGCTTGTCCAAGAGAGCTCTTAGGCTTAGAAGAGAAATTTCTGAAGAGTTGGAAAAACAGTATAAACAGTGAAAAAAGCAGTTAGGATGGATAAAGCAAAATGGCTAGAGGATCAGTGTAGAAACATAGAAAAATATTATGGAGAATGTAAGACTAGAGAAGTATATAAGATGAATAGAAATGTCAACCAGAAATGAAAACCAAAGCAAATGAAAATCAAAGATGAGAAGGGAGAGGTTTTAGTGAACAGGGTGGAAGTCCTACAGAGGTGGACAAGTTATTGCTCTGAACTATACATGGAAATGTTAGATACAGATGTATTAGAGAATCTAGTAGACTAATTAATTAAGGAAGATATCACCACCAAGTGTTGAAAATGAAAACGATATTATGAGGGAGGAAGTTGAAAGGGCAGTGAAATGGTTAAAAGACAATAAGAGTCCCGGACATGACAAAATCACAGGAGAATTGATTAAGCATGGAGGAGAAAGCTTAATTGACGAGATACACCAAGTGTGCAATGAGGAAAGATAAGTACATCTTATTAATTTGTTTGATGTAAAGATATTTTTATTCCTATAGTAGCACATTCGGCTAAAAAATTATCTTCTAGTTTTAAATTTTTCGGAATTTTAAGATAATTTAAACATATTGTTCGACGCATTCCATATTTGAATTGTACTGGTCAAAAGCCCAAGGACCATGAATATGGTCAAAACGTTAGTTTTATTTAATTTTTATCATTACTGAAGATATAATAAGGTTCTTGTGTGTTAATTATCCTTTCTCAGTGATTCTGAGAGTTGTTTTTTTATACCTAAAGAATGGACAAAATCAGTATTGGTGACAATACATAAGAAAGGCATCATGTTAGAATGCAAAAATTATAGAACAATTGCCCTAACAATGGACATAGGAAAAATTTTGACAATGATCTTAAAGGAGAGACTAAGTGGTTTGATGGAAGAACAATTAGCAGATGAACAGGCAGGTTTCAGGAAAGACAGAAGTACACTGCAGCTGATACTAACATTATGGCTATTAGTTGAAAAGGCAAGAAGAAAACAGAAAAACATCTATTCCTGCTTTGTCAACTTTTAGAAGGCATTTAACAGCATAGACCAAAAAGCCGTCTTGGCAGTGCTAAAATCTTATGGAGTGGATCATGCTAAGTTATATACAGAATCCATTTCAACTCAGCACTGTGGGCGAAATCTATACTCTCTCTGGAACCTGTAAACAGTACGTAATGCATATATATAGGCCTATATTGTATATTGTGGTTGACAAATGTTCGAAAACGTATGTCAACCACAATATTTAATATATACTGTATATGCATTATGCTGCTAAGTTATATTAATGATAATGCAGAAGCAGCTGTGAGATTGCATGGGGAGCTAGGAAATTGGTTCAAACCAAAAAGAGGCACCAGACGGGAGATCCTATATTCCCAACTATCGTTGTAAGTCTCTTAGAAAGAGTCATGGATAAGATGACGCAAGAGATGCAGGAACATCAGTTCATGGTGTAAAATTCAATAACCTGAGATTTGCAGATGAGTTATCATTGAAGAAAGTGAAGAACAACTAGAGAAAACATTACATCTGCTTAATGAAGAAAGAAAAAGATATGGACTGATTATCAATAGCGAAAAAACTAAGACAATATTTGGTGATAACAACATGTCAAGAAACATCCTAAATGGGAAAGAAATTGAAAATGTAGAGAGCTTTACATATTTAGGAAGAAAACTAACCTATAATCTGGATTGCAAAAATAAAATAGCGATTAGAATAGCCAAGGCAAAAACAACTTTGAAAGCAATGGACAAAATCTGGAAAAGTAAAGCAATTAGTTTACAGACAAAATTAAAAGTATTGAACACCTGCATCTTCTCCTGCATGCTGTATGCCTGTGAAACATGGGTAATGACAAAAGATATGGAAAGTAAAATATTAGAATTTGAAGAAGACTGTTACAGAAAGATCTTACAAATAGGATGGATGCAGAAAGTCACAAATGAAGAACTTTATAATAGGATATATATGAAAAAGAATCTCTTACAAAAAATTATACAATGAAAACTTCAACTGTTTGGACACATCACAAGAATGAATGAAAACAGAAAAATTAAGATTTTTTATGGATGGATCCAACAAAAGAGGCAGATCATATAGAGAATGGTTTGACGATGTGAAGAAGTGGTATGAAGTGAATGTATGGGAATTGAGAAAATCAGCAATGCATAGAGAGAAATGGAAGAAAATAGTGGAAAAGGCATCAGATGCCAACAGGCAACGAACCCAGGGTTAATTAATGATGAAGCAGCATAACACATTCAGGTGTCATGCTGCCTGTTGCAAAATTTGCAATTTGTGATAATTTTATTCATCTGATGGTTGCAGTGGTGAATAGCCACAGAACAGTCCACAAAGTGAAGTCACTTGGTGAAAAAGAGTATCACAGAATATGAAACAGGTCCTGGTGCAATACAATTTTACTGTTAATAACCAAAATAAAGTTGCTTGGAAAACTGTCATAAAAATTCTGATATTTTTATATTGTGGGTTGTCCTTTCATTTCTGGTTGGTACAAAAAATCACAGTAAATGAAAAACCAACCTGGCAAATAACTTTCTGTTTTAGCAAGTGGATTGATGATTGCTATAAAAAGCCAGAGTAAGCCCTGCTTATCAAATTTACCAGTATAGATATTTTATATATTGCAAATGTTTAGAATGAATATTTATACACACATCCATTCCAAACACTTCCAAGATTAATTAATTAATTAATTAATAAGCCCACAGATCTTTTCTATGAAATAAAGAGCTATTGGAAAACAGAAGATAATCAGCATGCTTGTAGTTCTCTATTCCACAAGTATATTTTGCAGTCTAGAAAAATTAATAAAATTATATACTCCTGATGTTGCAAAATACATTCATAAAATTATCATGTTTTATAAATACTTCCAAACGTTTCATATTTGTCAATTTTCCTTGTAAATTTATGAATATCAACTTATTGAATTTTTCTGTAATATGATAGACATTTAGGACATAAGATTTCACATCCCCCATACAATTTTACTTGTCCTATTTAAATACAAAATCTTCAGGAATTAAAATTATTATTTGAATTTATATGTTTCTACAGTAATCTAACTAAATTTAAATATTAATATGTAAAATAGAATTACATATTAGGTACAATTTTACTAGATAAGAAACTTTTCCACAAATTAAATTTTCATATAATTAATTAATTAACCACTCATTTATTCCAAACAAGAATATATAAAATTTATGTTTCAGTTTGTTTCATCTTTAATATAAATTATACATATTGATTTTATTGGACTATGGTTGGTTGACAATATTGATCAGAAATATAAATATTAAATATTTCTAAACTTAGAGAAATATTAAATGTTTATATCAATACTTTAACTTGGATATGTATATAATTGAACTTATTTCAAAACTGTTTTAAAATGTAAAATTTTAACATATAATTAGCAAAGTATTTCAAGTTTTAATCTCAAATATTTTCAATACATGTAAAACTGTTCTTAAATTCATTAAAATTGAATTCTAATAAAATTGTTATATTCTTTTGATATATATATATATTAAAAATACTTGATTTAAGCAGTTGCATATTTTGTTATTTCTATATTTTAACACCAATTTTTAAAAACCTTAGGTTTACGTGTTCATATGTAAAGCTTTTATAGTTTTACTTCATCTTTTAATTCTTCTTTGTGAAAACAGTTGCTTATACAAATTATTGATCAATATTGCATAATCATAGACTATTTTTTTTACATATTAACAAAAATACTTTTTTTTTTATAGTCAGCAACAATTATATTTAATTAAGAAACAACTGATTATCTAATTTATTTCATTTAGTATTATCTGTTATGCAAATTAATGATTTAAGATGTTTAAAATTATGTTAAATGAACAGCATTTATTTAGACTTGAAATAATTTTATTATAAATTACATACATAATTACTAATTATATTAAGGAAATATGAAAAAAATAAATCATTTTATATTTAAAAAATGATGGTGAATTGAAGAGAAAAATACACTATTTGAAATGAAAAACTTTATCAAAGAAATTTTGGCAATAAACAAGGTTGTATTTATTCAGTACAATTTTTCTTCTCAATTTCATAATACAAACTAATTTTATTAAAAAATATAAATATTTATGTATGTAATTTCAGTTTATCATAGTTATTTAGAAAAATCTAAACTGAATAAATACAACCATATTTACACATAATACACGTATATATTTTTAGTCCTTAAAAAAAGCTACTTTTGTTTACGTTGTTTATGGCAAGCTACGCAGTAAACTTGCAAACCTCTTTTATTTTTATCTGCAAACTTTGATTGAAGATATTGCCACTGGGTGCGAGATCCTTCGGGGCCGGGAGTGCGACTACCGCACGATGCACACTGGGCACAAAGACGACAGAGCCAACGACCGCTAGGTAAGTTTTTTAAACCTACACAGAAGGTGTGATATCCTCTATCACAATGATCACAAAACATCATTTTATCTTCATCATAGGGATCCATGCATAGCATACATGTTTTACAATGCATGCATTGCCATGGGTATGTTTTAATGACTTCAACAATCGAAGAAGGTATTTCTAGACAAGATGGATGTCCACTACTTTCACATTCTGAACAATGTACAAGTTCTTCCTGTTTTCCTTCTTTATTTGAATCGCTATTACCACGGCATAATTTACAAATGGCATTTGGTTTAATTTTTGGTATATAATTTGTAGATGATAAAACATCTTTCTGATTCACAGTGTTTTTATTTTTTGCTCCATCAGAGCTAGATGTACTATCTCCACTTCCATCATTAGTGCAATGACTTGAAGAACAAGATATTTCTGAACTAGAACTTTCTTCAGAATCTGACTGACTACCTTCAGAACCAGCTTGGGTATAGATAGTATTTAGCTGTTGAGGAGGCCCAAATAATACGCTGTTTACAGGCAAATATTTTAATTCTTCAGAAGTATACTTCTTATAATAATCTTGATACTGTCCGGGTAAAAGTGCAACCGGATATCTACCTATCGGTGCCACTTTATTAACTTTAACGGTTCTGTTAATAGGATAATGTACCGTATAAGTCTGTAAGTCAAAAGAAGCTCTTCTTTCTTCCTTTCTTTCATGATTTAAATGTGTATTGTATTCAGCAGCAGAATTTATTGCTTTTCTAACAAATTCTCTCATTTTACTCTTATCGACACTAGGAGCTTTATAAGCTATACATTTATTGGAAATATTTTGTCGTTCTTTTTCTTGCAACACTTTAATGAATTCTTGAAATTTCTCGGGATAATCTCTACAGATTAATTCCAAGACGTCATCCGAACGAAGCGCAGTAAGTCCGAGATCGCACTGAGTTTCGGACACGACTCCTCGATCTTTTAAGAATTTCTTTTCGTCCATTTCGATCGGACGTCTACTCAGATGGGGATACTTTCGTTTAAAAGACTTCACTGCTAAATAATCACTTATTTGTTCTTGTAAAACGTAGTAATCTCCTTTTTCTAGTGGCCATTGGTATTCAAATATATTACTTGCTGGGAAATTATTACCAAAATAACCAGAAGCCACTTCATCATCAGAATATCTTCTCTTAACAGAACTTCTTTGGCTACTGAAGCTATTCTGAGAATCTTCATCTAGAACAGCTTCTCTTAAACTAGATGATGTGTTTCTCCAACTATCAATACTCCAAGAACTTCTTGTATCCTCTTCGAAACATGGAATACCACCCGTTGCTCTCCTGCGATGTAGATCTGGTACGAGACGAGGCGTTATAGTAAATTTAGGTCTATCTAAAATACTTTCCACTATAGTTTCCGACGGAAAAGAACTAAAAGAATCATTCTCCATTAATTCCGAGCCACTCGGAAAGCTTACAACATTCCAACTTGCATCTTCTCCCATCACGAATATAAACTTTATTGTATGCAAGTCAATGGATTGGAAGATGGCGCCGTCTACAGGAAAAATCAAATTTAGGGTTTTTTGTTTTCAAAAAAATCTCATCAAAATTATAAAACATAATCATTTAATTATATCCTTATCATAAAATAAATTAATTAACGTTTATATCAATAATAATTTTAATAATAATAACCTTGTCGCTAGTTACTACCTTGGGTGCGTTCGTTAATAGCGCTCCGTTACTACGGGAGTGCGATGCTATTTGTAGGCATTTAGACGTGCGACTAGATATCCAGATGGCACAACGCGCTGATTGGTCAGCTAAATGACGTCAACCCACTGAAATAGAAAATGCTAAACCCCGATGGATACATGGTCAGCTGCCCTTCGCAATAGCGGCCGGATGGCCGAGCGGTCAAGGTGGCAGCCTACCGCTCTGGGGGACCCGGGTTCGAATCCGAACGGGTCGAAAAATCCCCAGGAATTTTTCTGGGGGTGGTCCGTTCGGATATGTCGGGCCCCGTCCCTCACCACCCGGCAGCCCCAGTGTGGGCCTGGCCGAACCCATAATGGGCTTGCAAAAAGAGGCCCTCTTAGTGCCCACAGGGCGGAAAGAGTTATAAAAAAAAAGCCCTTCGCAATAAAGGTCGAGACCATCTACGCCCTTTTGACTCTTGGATGTACAGTAGCGCGTCGTCTATCTATTATATGAACTTGTTTATCGCTTTCCTATGCTCACGGTGTTTGAGGGAGTCGCCAAACTGTCCCCATTGCGGCGCGGAGGAATCGATGCCTCACTACTGGCTACAATGTCCTAAATATATCAGGGCTGGCAAAGACCTAGGCAACACATTGTCCATAAACACGTCTCTCGCTCGCACCACGACGCCATTATACCCACTTCCATTTCCCCTCGTCGACACGTGGCGGCGCTGGAATGATATATCTATCGAATAGGTGGCTTTACCTAAACAACGGGCAACGCTTATCGGAGAAAGAGCCGAGAAGGCTATACTCTCCATATGAAACAGTAAGAAGAAGAAGGAAATGCTAATCGATTAGCCTATGTGAGGAGCTAGCC